ACACACACACACACACATATACACAGGAATACTATTGAGCCACAAAAAAGAATGAAATCATGTCTTCTGAAGCAACATGGATGGAGCTAGAGGCCATTATCTTAACTGAAATAACTCAAAAACAGGAAGTCAAATACCAAATGTTCTCACTTATAAGTGGGAGCTAAATAATGTGTACACATGGACATAGAGTGTGGAATAGTAGACACTGGAGACTCAAAAGGGTGGGAGAGTTGGGGAGCAATGAGGGATGAAAAATTATGTAATGGGTACAATGTACATTATTCAGGTGACGGTTACACTGAAAGCCAAGACTTCACCACTACACAATACATTCATGTAGCAAAACTGCACTTGTACCCCTTAAATGTTTACCAAAAAAACGTGAACTTAGGTTAATTGTAAATATATATTCCAAACTCTAGAGCAACCACTACAAATACGTAACTGATATGCTAAAAAAGAGAAAATGAAATCATATAAAAAATTTAGTTAAAATATAGAGAAGTAAGCATTCATATGCAGTAAAATGATATAGACAAAAATTACAGACAAATCTCTTTCAGTAGAGGAACGAATAAATTACAGAACCATGAAATATTTGACTATGAAGCTATATATACTTATATATTAAGAGCATTAAGCTATGTTAAGTGGAAAGCATACTGCAAAACAATACATTAAAAATCTCTTCTATATAATTGTTTAAAATGATGGAAGACAAAAAGAAAAGGGAGGATGGCAGGAAAGGAGTGAGGGAAAGCCATAAATATACATACCAATCTGTTAGCAGTAGTTCTTTCTGGCAGGAGAAATGAGACTCAGAATGAATGAAAAGGGGTTATTGAACTTAATTATCATATACAATTTTTCTACATATACATTGTAATGAGAATCCCTAGATATATTATTTATACAAATCTTTTTTTAAAAAGAAAAAGCAAAGGAAGCAAAAGGGAAGAATATTATGGTTTCCACAAAACTAACAAAGTGGTTGCTAGCTTACCTCCATCATTGGCTGAAAGGATTTCAACCAAATCATTTCAAATAAAAACTTGAGATCCATCATTAATAGTTTTAATTTACAACTTCATTTAATGGCTAATTTGATTTACAACTATTCTTTTTTTTTTTTTTTTTTTGAGACATAGTTTTTGCTCTGTTGCCCAGCCTGAAGTGCAGTGGCACGATCTTGGCTCACTGCAATCTCCGCCTCCCAGGTTCAAGAGATTCTCCTGCCTCAGCCTCCCAAGTAGCTGGGATTACAGGTGCTGGCCACCACACCTGGCTAATATTTGTATTTTTAGTAAAGACAACGTTTCACCATGTTGGCCAGGCTGGTCTCAAACTCCTTGACCTCATGTGATCCACCTGCCTCTCTCAGTCTCCCAAAGTGCTAGGATTACAGGCCATGGCACCCAGCCTACAACTATTCTTCATACAAGTAGTTTAGTTTGGCTTGTGAACTAAACCAAGGATCAAATACAATTTGGGAGCTCGAAGGAATTTTAGGAACCATCTGTATCTGCCCCCTCCCTTTACATACGAGGAAATTAAGAAAAAAGAGATTTGTCCTAAAACAGACAACTAATTACACCATCAGTGTGTTAAAAAGAGAACAAAACTCAACCTCCTTGCTTCTAGTCTAGTCTTCTGGTAAATTCAATTTATTTCCTTCCATTCACCTTGTAAATATCATCTGTGCTTCCTAAGTAGTTTCTGAAAATTTTCCTTTTTCAATCGCATTTCCAAATTATCTGCCTGAAAAGAATTTCACATTTATGTGCTGAATCCAGAAGAGACAACATAGAGCTTAGCATGGCAAAAGCATTTAGAAACTGCCTCTTATCTAACATTTTTGCTTTTATTCTTAATAAAACTGCTGAAGCAACTTGTTTAACCAATGAGACAGACACAAAGTTGAGAGTGGAAACAAATGTCTTGACTCCCAGAACACTGTTCTTCTGTATTTCATACCATTTTACATGTTTTATTTTTTAAATAAAAGGCAGTGTGTTCTTGCACAACAAACACCCACTGGCTAACAAGATGACTTTGGGAAGTCACTGAACTCTTGCAAACTAAGTTTCAGCTATTAAAGGAACAGGGTCAATTAGGTAAGCTCTGACATTTCTTGCTCCTTTCCATGAGTCTGGAATTTCTAAGATATGGCTCAATATGTATTAGGTAATGGATCCCAGTGGCAAGATGAAATACTGCAGGTCAACTCCATGAACAGTTTTATGGAGTTATACAAAGCAACAGAAAAGAGCAGAGTTCAGGAACTCCTTAGCATAAACCCAAACTTGGAGAAGTAGTAACTAGCTAATCTGTAGTTTTAGACTCAGTAAAGTACTTGGGATCATTCTCAACAACCATAAAGTTACCATGTGCCATAATTATACATCCATCACAGGGTTTCTAGGAACTGAATGTTTCTATTTTTTAATTTTTAATATTTGTGGGTACATAGTAGGTATCTATATTTATGAGGTACATGAGATGTTTTGATACAGGAATGCAATGTGAAATAATCACACCATTGACTACAGGGTATCCACCCCCTCAAGCATTTGTCCTTTGTGTTTCAGATGATCCAATTACACTCTTTTAGTTATTTTTAAATGTATAATTAAGTTATTATTGGCTATAGTCACCCTGCTGTGCTATCAAATAGTAGGTCTTATTCATTCTTTCTTTCCTTTTTCATTCTTTCTTTTTTTTTTTTACCTGTTAAGCATCCCCACCTCCCACCAAGTTCTCCACTACCTTCCCCAGCCTCTAGTAACCATCCTTCTACTTTCTATGTCCATGAGTTCAATTGTTTTGATTTTTAGATCCTACAAATAAGTGAGAACATGTGATGTTTGTCCTTCTGTGCCTGGATTATTTCACTTAACATAATGATCTCCCCCAGTTCCATCCATGTTGTTGCAAATGACAAGATCTCATTCTTTTTTATGGCTGCGTAGTACTCCATTGTGTATATGCGCCACATTTTCTTTATTCATTAATCTGCTGGACACTTAGGTTGCTTCCAAATTTTGGCTATTGTGAACACTGTTGTAACAAACATGGGAGGGCAAATATCTCTTCAATATACTGCTTCCCTTCTTCTGGGGATATACATAGCAGTGGGATTGCTGGATCACATCGTAGCTCTATTTTCAGTTTTTTGAGGAACCTCCAAACTGTTCTCCATAGTGGTTGTACTAATTTACACTCCCACCAACAGTGTACCAGGGTTCTCTTTTCTCTGCATCTTCACCAGAGTTTGTTATTGCCTGCCTTTTGGATACAAGCCATTTTAACTGGGGTGAGATAACATCTCATTGTACTTGTGATTTGCATTTCTCTGATGAGCAATAATTTGAGCATTTTCATATGCCTGTTTGTAATTAACATCTCATTTAGTTTTGATTTGCATTTCTCTGATGAGCAATAATGTTGAGTGCTTTTTCATAGGCCTGTTTGCAATTTGTATGTCTTCATTTGAGAAATGTCTATTCAAATCTTTTGCCCATTTATTGATCAGATTATTAGATGTTTTCCTATAGGGTTGTTTGAGCTCCTCATATATTCTGGTTATTAATCCCTTGTCAGGTGGATAGTTTGCAAATATCTTCTCCCATTCTGTGGGTTGTTGCTTCACTTTGTTGATGTTTCCTTTGCTATGGAGAAGCTTTTTAACTTGATATAATCTCTTCTGTCCATTTTTGCTTTGGTTGCCTGCGCTTGTAGGGTATTAGTCAAGAAATTTTGCCAAGACCAATGTCCTAGAGATTTTCCCCAATGTTTTCTTGTAGCAGATTCATAGTTTGGGGTCTTAGATTTAAGTCTTTAGACCGTTTTGATTTGATTTTTGTATATGGTGAGAGACAGGAGTCTAGTTTCATTCTTCTGCATATGGATATCCAGTTTTCCCAGCGCCATTTGTTGAAGAGAGTTTTCCAGAGTGTATGTTCTTGACACCTTTGTGGAACATGAGTTCACAGCAGCTGTGTGGATTTGTTTCTGGGTTCTATACTCTGTTCTATTGGTCTATGTGTGTTTTTATGCCAGTCCCATGCCATTTGGGTTACTATAATATAATCTGAAGTTATATAATGTGATTCCTCCCATTTTGTTCTTTTTGCTTAGGATAGCTTTGGCTATTCTGGGTCTTTTGCCCGAGTCCACATACATTTTAGGGTTGTTTTTTCTATTTCAGAAGAACGTCATTTGTATTTTGATAGGGATTGCCCTGAATCTTTAGATTGCTTTTGGTAGTATGGACATTTTAACAATATTGAATCTTCCAATCCATAAACATGAAGTATTTTTCCATTTTTTGGTGTCCTCTTCAATTTCGTTTCATCAGTGTTTTATAGTTTTAGTTACAGAGATCTTTCTAGGTAGTGAACTTCTGATGAGCATCTAGTTTTCTACTCTTACTATTCCTTCTCATTAACATTCTGAGAATGCATCTACTAACTCATAACAATTATGTAAATTGCATATGCTATTAAGCCGAACAATTTGGTTTTCTTTTAAAACAGCATTCAACAACAGTAATTGTTAAAACAAAATAACAATAAAACCTAAGTCTGATTCTAATATATTTGAGGAGACAGTACACGAATATAATCAACCTTTTTCTGAAAAATCACTAGAGATAGACCTTAAATGCCTATTCATGACTCATTTCTCAGCTCATATTTTGCCACTGGGCAATTCTTATTAACATATTAACATATGGTTATGTATTTATTTTACTATATATCACCATGAGCCTTATCAGTGTCTTACAACTTGGGGATTAGCTTAGTTATAGGAAAGATTTCATGCTGTATTATTGTTGTGGAATTTCTTTTCACAATCAGTATTAACTGTGGGTCTTTCTCTTTGCTAGGTTCTAGAGGTAGGTCTAGAAATACAAATGGAGTACCTAACTCATAGTGCTTATACCAGTGAAATAATCTATATTTGGAAGAATGTAATCTTCTTAACATTATACTTACTGATAAACTTGTTTTGCATAGTCTCCAACAGGGCTTGGTGAGCATCTTCAGCTTGTAAAGCATGTGAACATTCTCTAGCCAGTATGGTGCGCACAAGATGCTCTCCACATCCTAGAAATCCAAAGAAACCAACAGTTGAGGAAAAGCAGCACTGAACACCCTCCTTATTTCAATAGCATTAGAACATCCTTATGCATCATTTAAGAGAGTAGTTAGCTGGGAAAATAATTCAGTGAGGGATGAAATGACTTCCATGAGCAAACTGGTAATTTTAGTAAAGAGATTCAGCAGAAACTAAACACAAAGTTATCAATCAAAAACAAACCAACACAAATTAATATGATACATAGTTCTCTGTTTAACTAATATGTATTATGACTGGTGTTAGGCACTTAAAAAAAAACCCCCTAAAAAATATTATGTGTAATTGTTAAACCACATTGGTACTTTTCGACATATATTCATTGCCACAAATGCCATCAGTTCATAAAAGTGTGAATTTTTCAGGACACAGGCATGGACAAAGACTTCATGTCTAAAACACCAAAAGCAATGGCAACAAAAGCCAAAATTGACAAATGGGATCTAATTAAACTAAAGAGCTTTGCACAGCAAAATAAAACTATCCGTCAGACTGAACAGGCTCAACCATACAGAATGGGAAGAAAATGTTTGCAATCTTAACCATTGACAACGCGGCTAAATGCAGAACTGGCAAGAACTTAAACAAATTTACAAGAAAAAAAAAAAACCCACACCAAAAGTGGGCTTAAAGGTATTGAACCAGAACACTTCTCAAAAGGAAGACAGTTTATGCAGCCAATCAAACATGAAAAACTGCTCTCATCACTGGTCGTCCGAGAATTCAAATCAGACCCCAATGAGATTACCATCTAACACACGGTTAGCAAATGTGATCATTAAATGAGTCAGGAAACAACAGTATGCTAGAGCAGGATGTGGAGAAATAGGGAACACCTGTACACTGGTTGGTGGGACTGTAACTAGTTCAAGCCATATGGAAGACAGTGTGGGGGGGGGGGCGCAACACTTCCTCAAGAGCGATCTAGAACCTGAAAATACCCATCTTGACCCAGCTAATCCCATTACTGGGTTGATATTCCAAGGATGTATAAATGCATTCTACTACAAAGGACACAATGAAGCATGTATGTTTACTGCAGCACTCTCACAACAGCAAAGAGCTTGGGAACCAACCAAATGTCCATCAATGGAACGACTGGATAAAGAAAATGTGGCACATAGCCAGGTGCCAGTGGACTCATGCCTGTAATCCCCAGACTTTGGGGGCAGGCCAGGGTGAGGTGGATCACCTGAGGTCAAGAGTCTCGAGACCAGCCTGGCCAAAACGGGGAAACCCCATCTCTACTAAAAAATACAAAATGAAGCTGGCGGTGGTGGGCAGGTTCCTTTAATCCCAGGTCTACCTTGGAAGGAGAGGCAGGAGAATCATTTGAACCGGGGGGCAGAATTTGGCAGTGAAGCCGAGATCAAGCATTGTACTTCAACCTGAGGGACAAAGAATGAGATTCTTCAAAAAAAAAAAAAGAAAGAAAGAAAGAAAAAGAAAATGTGGCATATATACACCATGGAATACTATGCAGCCATAAAAAAGATGAGTTCATGTCCTATGCAGGGATATGGATAAAGCTGGAAACCATCATTCTCAGCAAACTAATACAGGAACAGAAAACCAAGCACTGCATGTTCTCACTCATAAATGGGAGATGAACAATGAGAACACATGGACACAGGGAGGGGACAATCACACACCAGGGCCTGTCAAGAGGTGGGGGGCTAGGGGAGGATAGAGTTAGGAGAAATACCTAATGTAGGTGACGGGTTGATGGGTGGAGCAAACGACCATGGCACGTGCATACCTATGTAACAAAACTGCACATTCTGCACATATACACCAAAACTTAAAGTATAATAAAAAAATAATAAAATAAAAAAGAACAGGAGCCACTAGGACCTTCAAGGAAAAAAATGCCATCTTCAACCAGAAACAAATGTGCTGAATAGGTAAAACACTGCCTTTGACTATTACATCAGTCATAGTAGATTAGAAATATGTCATATTATAAAGTCAATTAGAAATAAGATTACATTCCTCTCCAGTGTTGGAAGTGGATGTTTTAAGAAAATTATTCAGCAAGACTGGAAAGTAAGAGGAAAGAAAAAGAATCAATAGAAGAATGGGAATTCTGAAGTAGTTGTTCACCTATTCAGTAAAAAGAATAAATAAAGGCCTTCTAAAAGAGAAAAAAAAAAGAAGAATTTTTTTTTTTTTTTTTAAGAAATTGCCAGATATTTGCCAGAAATGGCTTCCCTGTATTTTTGGTAAACTGTAAATGCAAACATCCTTCAGGATCTAAATCTCTTTGTGAATGAATATCTACCCTTCGAGGAAGATCTACATTCACAATCCAGTGTATAACTTTGTGGCATTCCCTATTCAGTAAATTTTTGCAATATTGTTTTTATAATTGGGAAAAAGATGACAATAAAGCTAACAGAAACCATGCTGGACACTTACTATGCACAAACATCGGGCTTAGCTCATAAAACGCCGTAAAGTTTAATTCCCTTTGTGCACATACTTGACATTGGGCAGTGAAATGTTACACTTTAGGACAATAATAACTGCTAGGAAATTGGCATTTTATAAACTAAATGAATGTTCAGAAGGTTATATACACATGCCTGAAGTCAAAAAGCTAAACCGCCTGAAGTCAAAAAGCTAAACCACATGAAGTTAACATTACATCAAAAATACATAATGTATGTCAGAAAGACCTTGCTCTGTTGTTATACAGGAATATACATATAGGGCTTTCTAATGATTGATCTTTTTACCAAGAAACTTTAAAAATTATGACTTATATTATGTGACATTGATCATCTTTAACAAAGAGCCACGAAACCCAAGTTTTTTCTCCTGTAGGTTCCAATCAAAGAAAGTTTGACTTCTGTGGTTTTACCTACAAAATTCCAAGGTTTCTTAGAATATGCTGCCATACAGCTGAAGTGTGATTCAACGGCAAACAGTTCCACTCTTTATTCACCAATATTAGAAATAAGCCTTTCATTATATCCTCTTTTTGTCCTTACTTTTCCAAGTAAGAGTATGTGTATGTTCTTACATCTTAGCAGAAAACATGGATTGTAAAAGACCTGGCAAGACGCCTAGAAGTAAAACATACCGAGTTCTTAAAAAAGAAAAATTTTAGCATCAATAAGTACGACAAATGAATAGATTAAAACACATAATAAATTCATAACTTATGTTTTTAAAAGCACTGATCACCTTTGGAGGATGCTATGAAACCAACTCACTATTCTGAAAACTGGTAACAAGAAAACAAGCAAGCATGTTTCTGTCCTTCCAATAGGAACTATATGCCAGAGTAACCAAACAATTTATGAAGGAATATTTTCTCTGTAGAAGTATCCTAGATAATAAACGAAAAAGAAATTAATAGAATTAGAATATAACCATTTGTAACCCATAATGTAATAAGTGATAGAGGCAATCATCAGTGGCTGCTAATACCCCAGAAAGATACCAGACACTATGTATCTCTTGACAAAATCATACCTATGTAGTCTTGCCCACTGCCCAAAAAAACTATACTTGAATCTGATTAGGCCTCTAAGTTCAGTTATCAATTTCCAGAAATAAAGAACATCTGCAAGAAAACCTACAGTTACATCATACTTAATGATGAAACACTGAATTGTTTCTCCCTAGGATCAGAAACAGGGCAATGATGTCTGCTTTCATCACTTCTCTTCAATAATGTACTGGAGATTTCAGCCGTTGTAATAAGGCAAGGGGGAAAAAGGCAAAAAAAAAACAGAAAGGAAGAAGTAAAACTGCCTCTATTCACAGATGATATAATTTTCTAAGTAGAAAATCCCAAAGGATCTACAAAACAGCTATTAGAGGTATCTCTCCATATTCTTCCTGTCTGGTTAGTCTAGGACAAAGGCCGGCAGAAGATATCTGCCTGGTACTTACTAGTCCTCAAAATATGGACCTGACCTTCATTTCTTTCCCCATTCATTCACTTGCCAGGCTGTTACTGAGTCCCTACTCTGTGGTAGGCCCGGAGTACATAGCAGTTGGCAGGGGTGCTACTACATATTGTCAGACCTTCCCCTAAAGTGTCAGACCCCTGCTTGGTTACTTAGTATTCACTTAACTGTCATTCTGGCCAGTCCAGATGTCAATGCCCTGACTGTGTATTCTATACACCAATTCAAGGATTCATGTAAAAACCCTGGATTCAGCAGGAATCCTGGACATTCCCACGGCCCTAGGAGTGCCAGTCTCTATGGCCAGGTCATCTCACATTAATCCTAACCCTTACAATCCAGACCCATCTCACTCTTTCCCAGTATGTTTCCTGTTGCTGAGAATTCAGCATGTCCCATGCTCAAAGATAATACAGGTCTTCTCTTGTGGGTATCCCTAAGCTTTCAAAACTTACACTGAAGATGAATTCTCAATAAAAAATTCCAACCCCCAACTTCAACACACATATATGTACAACCATAAGGAAGAATGAGCAATAGCAAAAAAAAAAAAAAAAACTATTTCAAGAAATGAAAATAATTGGACACCGGATGAAAACAAATTTGTAAAAGGCCAAATAGTAAGTATTTTAGGCTTTGAATGCTACATGTAATTTCTCTCTATCAAATATTCTTATTTTTTTTTTGCGAAAAGTCTTAAAAACTAAAAAATCATTCTTAGCTCATGAGCTATACAAAAACAGGCCATGAACCAGATTTGGCCCACAGATCATAGTTTGCCTATCCCTGAAACAGCAAACTGTAGTACAGTAAGAGAAAAAACAGAGCCTAGACTGATACAGAGAAAGAAAATGAGGCGTTAAGAGTCCCAAAGTGTAAAATGATAATGTCCAATGCATTAACAGGCATTTTGAAAGAGAGGAAAGAAGGGAGAAGAAAGCACTAATATTTGTATAATGAATAAGAATTTTCCAGAATTTAAGTTATTAAACTAAAGACTCACATAGAGTTCCAAAAAAGAAGAATAAAAATAAAAATCCATCCTTAGT